AAGCGGCTGACCCTCCCTGGGGAGCGTCCCCTGGGTGTCCTCCGGCTCCTGGGGCGCGAGTGTCCCAGCAAAACCCTGGTCCTGAGACTAGCGGGAAGCAGAGCAGCCCCCCAGGGCCAGGCTGGTGTGGGTCCCTGTCCCTCCTCTGGGTCACGGTGGGGTTGGTTTCATGCTGTTCCCTGTCCCCCTTTCCTCACTATCTGCTTTTCCATCTCGCTCCCCGGGCAGGAAGAAATCGCTGACGGGAGAAGAGAAGCGGAGGTAGGACTGACCCCACCCCTGGCCCTGTGCTCGGGGCATGGCCCCCATCCCAAAAGCTCTGCCGGTGTCCTCAGTGGGGTCACCAAGGCCCGAGGATGGGGACCCCCATGGGGGAGCAGGGTCCCCAAGCCAGGGGGACCTGGGGGGGAAGGATTTCCCCCAGGGAGGGACCTTCCCAGAAGACACTGTGGGGCTCAATAGGTTTCCCTTTGGTCATGCTCAGAGGGAAGTGCTGGAGTTTGGGGGGGTGAGAGGATCTTCTGCCCTTGCCCTGGAGTCACCTCGAGCTCTCTCATGGGCAAGGTACCTGCCCAGACCCTGCCTGAGCTCTGACAGAGAGGGCTGCCTCCTACACCGTGCTCTTGGCACGGGGGCTTGCCTGCATGGCACCTCCTGGGCGGCGCAGGGAAACGATGCGCGACCGTGGGACAGGCACGGCGGAGGAAGATTGGGCATGTGGGGCCGTGCCTGCAGGATCCAGCCCGGGCCGACACCTGCACCGTTCACAAGTCCGAGTTCTGGAGCTCCTATCGGATGAACGTCACCGAGGTGAACCCGCTGGGGTCCAGCTTCCGCCTCCTTGACATCACCATGCAGGCGATCAGTCAGTGCGCCCCCATCATCCCTCCATCCCCCCCATCCCTCTATCCCTCCATCACATCTCTCCCTGCCTGTTGGGCAGCCAGTCCAGGGCGCCAGCACCCTTCTGCATGGGAGAGCGGAGGAGGCGATCGGCCACAGTGTGACGGAGCCTCTGCGTCTTCTCCCACACAGTTAAGCCAGACCCTCCGGAAGGCCTGGTGGTGGAGCCCGTCCCCCGGGCACCGCGGCGGCTCCAGGTGAGCTGGAGGTACCCCACATCCTGGCCCAAGGAGCCCCACTTCCAGCTCAAGTTTCGGCTCCAGTACCGGCCTGTCATCCACCGCTCCTGGTCCGTGGTAAGCAGCGGGGACGCGAACACAGAGCCAGCTCAGGAGCAGGGTGGCTCTTTGGCACTGGGAGAGCAGTGTGGGGTCTGGGCCTGGCTGGGGACACTCAACGAGTGTGAGTCGGGCTGGGGAGGTCGCCCAAGCCCTGGGGGTGGCATCTCTGTGTGCCCGATGGCTCCCCTCTGTGCCACGCAGGTGGAGACGGTGAACCTCTCCGAGGTGATCACAGACGCCTTCGCAGGGCTGGAGCACGTGGTGCAAGTCAGTGCGAAGGATTTCCTGGATGCGGGGAACTGGAGCGAGTGGAGCATGGAGGCACGGGCGACGCCTGTCAGAGGTGTGGGATGGGGGCAGGCTGCAGCCCCCAGCATCTCTACGGGGCTGCACCATTCTTCTCCACAGCCCCTCAGCACCCCGGACTGCCCCTCTCCAGCCCCTTCTTTCCAACATCCCTCCTGCCTCGAATATCACCCAGGGCCATGCTCAGGGCAAGCCCTGACTCCTGAAGTCCCGTGAATTCAGGACCCAGCTCTGAGTGCCAAAAGAAAAAAAAAAAGAGGATAGTTTTTCACCCTTAAAGTTGACCAAGGAAAGCTGCATGTGCCATCCAAATACTTTCCCCATGGCAAGAGGTGCAGCTGCAAAGGGACAAAGCAGCCCCAGTTCCCAGCCCTGCTGTGGGGCATTGTCCCTGCAGCCCCGTGGCAGGCTGCAGCTGTGCTGCTGGGATTTGGGGATTGCTTCCCACAGCCCTTGGCATCTTGGAGGCACCTTCAGGCTCCCAGGATCCCCAAGGCACAGCAAGACCCCAGGGGCACCCTTTTGTGTGGGTCCCTGCAGTGCTGCCAGTGTCCTGGGTGCCTGATGCCCACCCCCTGTGCCGTTCCAGACCCTGCCACCGTGGCGAGTGAAGAAACCACTACAGATGCCAGCCTGGAGAGCCTGGCTGAGGAGCCCTCGCGGGCTCCCAATCCTGAGCCCATTAGTGAGTAGAGCTGGGAGGTTGCAGACAGGAGTGGGAACAGCCAGTGGGCTGCCGGCTGCCTGGGCACGTCCATGGTTGAGAGCTGGAGAGGAAAAGTCCTGTCTCCTGAGACCCCGTGCCTGCATGTTTCCGCTTTGCTGGGCAAGCTGTAGGGGTGCCAGTGTGCCCAGGAGCCTGCAATAGGGTCCTAGAGTCCCCTGGGGTCTGCGGGAGGCTTGACTGGGGAGGTTGCTGGATGGAGCTTGCAAGTCCTTGCCTTTCCTTTCCCTGGGGCATCAAGGGCCATGGAGCATGATGGAGATCCTGGGGTCCAGCAGCTGTCCGGGGTGGGTGCAGCCCCCAAAGGAGGGCAGGGTCCACCCCAGCACTAGCCTGCTCAGCTACTCATGGCTGTGGGGTCACTGCAGGGTGTGGGGCTGTGGCATCTCTTGGCTGTGACGATCTCTGTGCCCACCTGTCCTAGATCGGAGCGACCCCCTGGAGAAGATGGCCATCCTGGTCTCCCTTGGGATCTTTGCCTTCTTCATCCTGGCTGCCGTTCTGGTCATCACCATCCTCGTCTGGTAGGCTGTGTTTTGGAGGGCTGTGAGGCACTAGCGTGCTGTGGCTGGGTGTGAAGTGGTGCCAGGCCTAGCTCTGCTGCTACCTTGTAGCTGCCCTGTAGCTCTCTGCTTTCCCAGCTCTATGCTCTCCAGTCAGCTCTGCTGCCATCCCTGTCCCACTGTGGCCCCCAGTCACCCCAGCAAAGGTCCCCCATCCTTCCCCAACCCTGTGCCATGAGTCCCACCCCCAAAGAGACTTGAGGTCAGCCTGATGTGGTGGTTCATTCTGTTCTAGTCCCCTTGGAAGGGCTAGTCCTCCGCACACCCATGCCTGGTGCACATTGTCAGCATTGCCCATTCTTCCAGGTGTGCTGGGCTTTCCGCTGGCCAGGACACACTGGTGAGCAGCCCTCTGCTGCAGAGGGGGACAGGTTCTTGACTGGGAGGATCAGGATCGGCTCTGCTACCAGAGTGGGAATGAGGCAGGGTTAGAGCTGCCCCGGAGGGGGATCGGGGAGAAGATGACGTGTGGGGGTGCTTGGCTGTATATTTCAGCTTGTGTGGGGTCTTCCTAAGGAGCTCACATCCATGAGACCTTATTCTGTATCCCCCAAAGATGCTGCCACTATTAATGTGCCCCCCCCAAACCCTCCTGCCTACCTGGGATCTCTTTTGCTCCGTGATCAGCACAGAGACCCCTTAATCTGCCTTTTTCGACCTGAGTCCTGCCCTTGGGCACTGCTCTGCGGGGTCCTGTCCTGCTCTGATGAGTCCTCTGTCATCCCACTACTGCTGTGGCCCTCCCTGCCAGCACTGTGGCTGTGTGGCCAGCCCTGCCCCTATCTAATGGCAGGACTCTCATGCTGCCTGGAGCTCACCTGCTGGGCCTGGCTGGATGGGGTGTGCAGTAGGATCACTGGGGACCGGGGCAGCACTGGTCTCCTTCTGCCCACGGAGGGCTGCTTGAGCTCTTCAACCACTCTGCTCTGTCCCCAGGCTCCGGGTGAGGAAACACGGCAAGGACGAGACCAAACCCCACAACTTCTTGGTTGCTGCCACCCACTTGAAGGCTCTGCCGAGTGAGTGCCGAGGGGGGCCGTGTCAGGGGCCACGGTGGGCAGGACAGCGGGGATCCATGCCATGTGCCCTGGCTCAGGGCAGGTCTGCCACCCAAGAAGGGGGGAGGTGGGGCTTTGACCACTGTAACCCCTCACCTTCTCTCCCTTTCCACAGAGGCCCAGATCTTGTAGTGAGCCCTGGATGTTCCCCTGTCTGAGCACTCACTCACCCGCCTATGGGACTTGACACCACTGTTGGCCCCAGAAGGGCTCCCCACCGCACGGAGCAGGGCCTGGCTTTGGACATTGCCTGAGCGCCGGCACCGTTGGGGCACACGATGGACCCTAAGGGGAGAGGCTGTGCTTTGAGGAGCTTAGGGCTGCCCGTGCCCGCCAGGAACTGGCTGGAGACATCTCGGACTCAGTGCGACGGGCCAGTTCCCACCACCGGGCACTGCTATACAACATGGGGGTGGGGCACCGAGCCAGCCCCACTTCGCTGCTTAGTGCCACATGGAAGAGGACAGTGGGCGCAGGGTGCCAGGGGTGTTGGTCTGTGGGCATCGGTGACCGTGCGGTGCTGAGCTCTGCCGGCCTCCCTGGCCCATCGCACCCCCACCAGCCATCAGCAGGCAGAAGCGCCCCCCCATCCCTCTGCCCCTCGCCCCCACGCTGTGGCAGGACGGAGCAGTGATCCCAATAAAGGGGGCAGTGTTGGCGCTGCCTGGGCCAGACCTCTCTGCACTTCATACAGGGCCAGGGGAGATATACAAGGTGCCAGGCAGAAAGAGAGTTGCCAGCTTGGGGACCCTTGGTCCTTGCAAGGGCGTGCATACATGGCTGGTCCCCAAACAGGACACCTTCACTCCAACCTCTCCCCAGAGAGCTGGTGGGCTGAGCGAGACCCTTGCCTGGTCCTGCCCTTGCTGAATGTCAGAAGAGGAAGATCCTTGTGCGCAAGCCTTGCCCTGTGTCCCAGCAAGCCTAGAGGAGTCCTTAGGGGAAGGACACCCCAAAAAGACAGGGCTCTGTCCATCCCCAGCCTCTCTGCCTCTCAGGAGAGCTGTCAGGACAGGCCACAGGGCAGCTGTAGCCTCCTGCCTGGGACATCTCACTTGCCCCTGTCCTCGCCAGCCCTGCTGTGGGGACAGGAACCTCTGCACAGCCCCCAACGCTCCGTGTGTGCTGGCTGGGCCCGCTCCTCTCCGCTCGACCCGGCCCCTGTAATCGTTTCCATGTGTTGACATCTCCCAGCCCCGATGCTCAGCGCCAGCGGCTCTGTGGCCCAATGAGATCCAGATGGGGCTGGATGGAAATTCAGGCAGCGGTGGTGCTGGCTGGCGTTGGGAGCATAGGGAGCAGAGCCAGGGCAGGGTGGGCCCAGGGGCTCTGCCTTGCGGCCGGCACGGCAGGGGAGATATGTGTCACTTCAGGCTGGGCCGCAGGGCTTCCCTTGAACCCGGGGTGCAGTGAGAGCGTGGCGGAGGGGTGTATATTTCCGAAGGCTCCTTATGAAGGCTGGATTGGGGAGGACCCCTCTAAATGTCTGAGCACGTTCAGGCTGCACCTTGTAGTACTGTGGGGCTTTGCGCAGGGGGCCATGGGCAAGGCAGGGCCAGCAGGGTGTGGGGCATCTCCTCATGGCCCTTCCGCAGGGGCAAAGCAGGAGCTTTTGGGTGTCCCAGCCAGCCATGGGGCAGCTGGGGGCAATGGATCCATCCCACTGTGGTGCCCTTGCATGGTGAGGCAGGGCTGGGGGCTGGGAGGTGGCTTCAGTCTAGTCTTACTCTGGGTCTTGGTGTTCAGGATCAAGCCTGGGCAATACCATGGTGGTGAGGGCAGGGGCAGCCCTGTGCCTTTTGCAATGGGTTGTGGCCCTAGGCCTCTTTCCATGTCCACCTTGCATTAACCAGCACTTCAACCCTTGCCTCTGCCCTCGCTGGGCGCCCCTTTGCACCCAGCCCTGGATTTTGGAGCGTTGGGGCTGCCGACGCAGGTCCTGATTTTTGCAGTGCCCCTGCCCCTCACTAGCCCTGGTGAGCACATTGGCCCTGGGTGGAGAAGACACAGAGTCAGCCCTCTATCCTTGATGTGGTGCTGGAACGGCACCAAACCAGGATGGGAGCAGGGCTCACCGCAGTCCAAGTAAAGCAGGTCACTGAGCTAGAGAGGACCCTATGTGTGCCTACACACACAGGTATACACAGGGACCAGCTCCTGCCTGGGTTTCTGGGCCCAACAGCCACTCCTTCTCTTCCAGGCCCACCCTAGACCTTGCCAGCTCCAGCTGTGTCATGCTGCTATTGCCTCCTGCTGGGCTCTGGTCCCCAGCTTGGCTGTGCACAGCATGAATTGCAGCCTCTTGGCACCCTGGCAGGTCCCCATGACCTCTGGGCTTGGCTGAGGCTTGCACTGGGGAGGAGGGGGCTGTGTGCATGCCTGAAGCTGCCCAGACAAGCGCCCTGCTCATCCAGCTGCACAGCTGGACCAGCACCAGCTGCAGGGCCAGCCAGCGTGGGGCAAGCACAGAGCCAAGCGTACAGCATCCCTCCCCAGCTTCCATTACCTGTCTCTGATGTGCTAGGGTCACCCTTGTTTCCCTGGTCCCAGTATGCCACGGGTAGCCCTTACTGCTTAGAAATCAACTCTTATTACCACCAGATCCCACCTTCCCTGCTACTGTGGAGGGTCTCAGGACTCTGGTTGTCCATGGGATGCTGTTGAATGCCTGCCATATCTGTCCCATATCTGTGGCTTTGGTGTTTGCAAGCAGAGCTCAGTGTTTTCCAGGCACATAGCGCTGGCTTAGAGGCTAACGCCTGCTCATGACGCAGGAGTGCGATTGGCCAGCAAATGGGAAAGAGCATGAGCCAGAAGCTCTGGCGCCCATCTCCTGCCCCGCTTATAAACTCCTTCAGAAAATCCAGATTTGCTCCAAATAAAAGGGAATTGCTGCTGGCCAGGGTGGTACAGAGACCACCGGAGCCTAGCACATACAAGACAAAGCGTGTCAGCTCCACACAGGTAAGTGCAGGTGGGTAGACGGGAAAGACTGCCAAGGCTGGACAGCAGCATGGTGATGTCCAGACTGAGCACTGCAGGAAGCTCTGCCCCTCTCCCTGTGCGTAGTTACCCCCAGGGCTAGGACCCCCAGTGCATAGATCCCTCCTGAAATGGGGGGAGCTGACGATCTGCAAAAATGGTACCTCTGTGGAAATGCAGTGGGGCAGGTTGTGTGCTGGGTCTCTGCTTGGCTCTGGGTGAGGAGCAGTCTCAGAGCCTCTGCAGTCTCTGAAATAAAGGCTGATGGGCAGAAGGGACCCAGAGCTCTACTGTCCCTCTGTGCCAAGCCCTATGTCTCCTTCCTTAGGTGCCCCAGGGTAGCTGCCCCAGGCCTGCTGGGACACCAAGTTTTGATGAGCAGGATGTGATCACCAAAGCTTGCAGGCAGGAAATGCACATCTGGTTTTCATCACTGCATCCCACTGCCCTCCACCCTGGGCTTCATCCCCTTTTCCCTTCTCATGAAAGCCTTAAAGGCATGACCAAGCATCCATTTGGCAGTGGGAGAGACCAACAGCAGGTGAGAGAGCTCTGCATTCAGCTGCAAAGTCCTACCTGCCGTGCTCTGAGGGACGGTGGCTTCTTGGTAGGATGCCCCACAACTCAGCCAGGCTTGCAGGCAACTCAGGCTGGTGCTGAGAGGTGTGTTCATTCCCCCATCAGCAGCCTGAAGATGTGATGCTCAGGCAACTTGAGACCCCAAGGAAACAGGGAGCTCAGCGCTTGGGGGTATCAGGATGTTTAATGTTGGGTGCTGCACACTCTGGGAACCCAGCTGCCCAAGGGAATGTGTGACCTGACACTGGACATGAGTGAACATGGCTCTCCTCTGGACCAGTGAAGATGCAAGGGGAGGGCTGAGTGCATAGAAATCTAGGACAAGGGAGTGGGCTCCAGATGCCGAAATCCACAAACTGCAGAGGAGGAAAAGAGGAAGAGACCATGAAAACAGTCCCAACACTGGCACCTCCCCATCCCACTGCTGGGCCAGGGCACTTCCCTCAGGGCTCAAGCCTTTTGGTGGCTCACACTTGCAGTCGCTGAGCTAGTGGGAGGCTTCCTGCTCCAGGCTGGAGCACTGCCTGGATGCACTCTGCCCAGAGTAGGCAGAGATGCTTCCAGACTCGCCTTGCTGCATGATCCCACCCTCCACAGGGCAACACTATGCCAAGATCTCTGGGGAGAAGGTAAGATCCAAGCCTCGGGGTACTGAGGCCATGCCAAGTCAAGACAGCCTGTGGGATGCACCCACAAGGAGTGGGAACAGGTCCCACCTCCCAGCAGGGAACAGGGAACAGCCCAGGCACAGCAGGAGGAAAGTATGGGAGAGTAGGGCCCAGGTCTCATTGGGTGCCAAAAGTTTAAAGCAAGAAATGCAACGTGCCAGGGAATGTCCCCAGCACCGAGGCCCTGAATGGCCCACGTCGGTGCTACATGTTTCCATCCAGCACAGGGCAGACCCATCCAGATCATCTCTTAGGCAGGGGGCTGGAATGGATCAGCTGCCCAGCCACATCCAGGACCCATTTGGGAAAGCAAGAGTCAGTCTGGGCCAAAACCACTGCATCACATCACTGGTATGGACAGTTGTGCAGTGATGCTTGGACTGCTTGAATGTGACAGACTGCCAAATGTCTGTGCTGCCCTGAATCCCAAGCCCCTCCTCTCCACACCTTGCTGCCAGGTCAGCCTGCGTTTTGCAGGGAAGAGGCTAGGTTGCCTACGCAGGACAGCAAAGCAAGATAATCTTAACTTACCTCTCATGACCGCTCCTGCTTCCCTCTCCTCCACATCCTGAGCCAGGGAAAGAAGTAAAAGCAACCCCAGTAGATCCTGGAAAATATAGGGGCATGAAACCCAAATATAGGTCATTGGGAAAGGGAGAAAGGAAGGGATACGTACACAGTCAGGGAGTAGCAAGGAGGGAACTATGCATGGATCGGAGGAAGGAGCCAAGGATGATTGAACATACAGATGCATGGATGAATTGATAAATGAACAGACAGTTTGGTTGCCCTAACACCCTCCTAAGCATCAAATATGCTCGTTGTTGCAGAGGCTGATTTGTGAAGCCCAACTGTGTAACAGTGGCAAGGGGAGGCCCATGTGTAGAACAAGGCTGGTGTTTGGGAGCAAGTCCCAGATTTAAGCTACACACGCACTCATGGAAATGACACAACAGTTAACATGAGGAGACAGAGCCCGAATCATAGCCAGGGCAAGTCCTCTGTGTCCGGGGAGAGAGCGCGGCATCTCCAGAGGGGTTGCATCCCCTTCAGGAGCTGAATCGGGCTAGGAAATGCTGAGAGATCATCCTTGAAATGCCACAGCTGCTATGGCAGAGGGAAGATGGAAATCTTCACCATCTGACTGTGAGTTTTGTCACTGGAGAGAGAAAAGACGCCTGGAGAGACAGTCCCCCTCTGTCCAAGGGAGAGGAGGGCTGTTTTGGGCTGTGCTTCTGTCTCGCCCTAGAAATCTGTAACAAAAAGAGACAGTGGCTGTAGCTTCCTGTGGTGTTGTTGGGGCAGTCCCCCAGGCTGTTGGGGATCTCAGGGCAGACTCAGACCCTGTTCCCCAGGCTTGTGGCCATTTCCAGAAGAAGCATAGCTTCCTGGACCAAGCAGCTTTCACATCAGTGTCAGGGCACTGGGGGTGTGAGTGCAGCAGG